TATATACATAATGTATATTGGTCTATTTACAATAATATTATATAGTGTAAAATACATAATAGTAAAAACAGTGTTCAAAAGAAACAATGTCAACTTTTTCGTTGATAGGCTATGATCAATACGATCTTTACATCATTGTTCCTGTAGAATTTCCCAGGTTCAAAATACGTTGAACTGTGGACCATGTGTTGTTCACTTTATATTAATTATATTCTAAACTAATTTTTTTCTTCTGTCAAACCATATTCCATCATTCTTATTTGTCATATTTCACGTTATTTCGTGGTTTAATTGCCCTCATCGTCAATAATAGTATTAAACACTCATTTTTCCCCCTTTAAGAATCCAAATCATCTCGTTTCCTTTCATTAATTGCATATCAGTTATTTTTTTCATTTTTTAAACATTATTTCTAATACAAGTAGCCTGTGGTGTTGACCATTAATTGTTTTCTTGCGTTAATGTTGCTAAAAAAGTGGAGTGGGCAATGCCGTAGCCAGCTATTGGGACAGTTGGACAGTCCCACACAATTTTTCTATTGGGTCCACAAAGAATGGGTCCACTTTTTAAAAATGAGTCCAGATTTCTCATATTTTGTGTAAAATTGGTCCAAATTATTCATATTTTTTGTAAAATGGGACAACTTAAAAAAAAAAAATGGGTCCATATTTAAATTTCGCGTAAAGTTGGTCTACCCTGATCATTGGGAGTGGGGTTGTGGTTTAGTGCCTAAAGAACTGGACACACACGTTTACATGGAGAAATCAATGCGCTAGGAATTGTTTACAATGACGATTCGCTCAGACTGCAATCATCAGCCGGCTGTCGTGTCGTCAAGCGCGCATATACAGAGAGATGACTCGTCAACCGACTGTCGGCAATGTGTTTGCCCGGCTTAACTAAACCCCTCCTTAAGCCCAGTAATGAGAATTTTATAGATAGCGTCACATAATTTATCATTATTCTTTAAGAGGAAATTAAACCGCTATTATGTGATGAGACTTTAAAAAATAAATCAATAATTTGCACATAGTTAACGCTGTTAAACCATATTCATTATTTTATATATATTTAGATAGCCTATTGCCTTGAATGAAATTCAGTTATTCCACACTATATTTCATTTGTTATATTTGTAATCTCAGCAGCTTTTGAGGTTTTCGACCTCCTGAGAAATGAGCGTAAAATCGGGTACTCGCTGCAGCACCCGACGGTCGTCGGCCGTCGTGAATCTACGGAGAAAGCAACGCCACGACACGCGCGAGCAACGGATTACGTTTTTAATGAAGATCCGTTCAGACTGCCAGCGCGCGGCAATCAGCAGACGGTGTCGCGTCGTCTAGCGCTGACAGGGAGCAAAGTTGGATATGTTGGCCGACCGTCGTATTATACACAGTGAGTGACCGGCTTAAGTCATACTGAATTTGGCGGCTCACTGTGGATTCTCCCTCCCCCTGTTTGATATTCAGCCTTGAGAACAAGGAAGTCAGTCTGTGTGATAATATCGAGTTGGGGTAGGGGGTGATGGTGGGAATTGCTACACCGTTTGTCACTTTAATCGTTTTTTCTTATACGCCATGAGAAATGTTTATTGTGGAAGACACTTGGCCTATATAGAAATTCAAATGCATAAATAATTTAATTATTTTTGAAGCATTGATTAGCTTTGGAATTATAATATTTCCAGTAGTTTCATAACTACAATATTTCGATAATTCCAGTGTTTCAGATATACTTGGCCGCTTTCTTTCGCTCCGAATTTCATTCTTAGTTTTGTTATTTCTTTTTTTTTTTTCAGGAAGAGAAAAGTGTACGTGGGAGGTGTAGTAGCATCGAGTCAAATTTTAAATGAAAAAATGAAAATGTTACGATCGATAATCAAAGTACGTTGTAATTTAAATATAATGTGGTTGGCTGTAGGCGGCATAAATCAGAGTTGTTCGAAAAACATTTTGTATGCTGCATTTGCTCCAAAGTATGTACCTTACACACACACTTGGCCGATTGTTCTCCACGCTATTCCATTGAGGAAGAAACGCAACGAGACGCGCGCAACGGTCCGTTTTCATGACAAACAGCTGAACCTGCAGACGTCGTCAAGTTCTCCACTCATAGCTATCGGAGATGTGTTTGTCAGCCGACACTCGCACCATCGTCGAATGGCGTAGTGTGTTCCCGACATCCAATCAGACTTTGACTGTGGGGCGCCTTTAATGAGTCGCCGCGCCCGACATTCATCGACGTAATTCGAACATTTCATCAGATTTTATTTTACTTTACAACATCAAGTTTGACTAATCGCTCGTTACGTTGTGATATATTCGAACTAATGTTGTTGATGAAGCCAATACAAACGCATTACATTGAAGTAGCAATCATGTTTAATCTTTTAGGCTGTGAAAGCCAAATTTAAATCGTCCAACCACTGAACTTTAATGAATTTTGCGGGGTGGAAATTTCACAATTATCCAATCAGAGCGTGTTATTCATTAGCCAGGACTATTCGCATTTCCCATAAATACGCTAGTTTACGCACATCAGGTATTTGGACATAACTAATCCCTGAGTTTAAGACCGATGCCTGTCTCTTTCCACTCTGGAGTAAATTGGGCTGGTAAAGACTTAAATTTACATGTAACTATTATTATAATGATAATTATGACTATAATTATTATTATTTTATAGAATACCATTTTATGTACAATGTATATTTAAATGAATGAAATAAAAGAATGAATAATAGCGGGAGTCCTCGGCATTGTGTGGTAGGTTTGCAAGTTCCTTTCAACTCCGCCTTCCCCGGTATATATTATCCAGGTACCGCTTTATACTCCTGGTGGAGAAAAACAAACGTAGGAAGAGTGTCTTGTCCAAGGTCACAAGCAAAATGCAGAGAGAGGATACGAACCCCGACCTTGAGGGTAACAGACCAAACGCAACCACTGCACCAACCACATATTTATAGAATAGAAATAAACTTGTTATTAATAATAATTATATTATTGTAAATGCACGGACGTTACTACTGTGTAGCGTACTTATCAACGATTTACTTACCAAATCACAGACCTACAAATAGCACGTTGAGTTAAACCGTCAACTTTAAACATCGCACCAGATATGGTGTCGGTTACATAGCCTACCTGGCTACCATACTTGTCATTTCCTCTTGTTTTGTTTCTACTATACTGAATTATGCCGTAATGATAGGTCTAGCCTGTATGAATAGAGTTCATAAATATATAGTAAATATGCACATAAGAGGACGACCCTGTCCCGGTTTATTTGTCTCGAAATTGACCAAGGAACAGAAATAGCACACATTATGATATTTAAATTGAAATTCAAGAAACGAACACATCTACGTAAGAGTTTTTATTTCATTCTTAATTGCAAAATAAATTAAGTTAAGAAACATTTTGAGTATTGACACGTGCGTGCTTCTTATTTTTCCTTTAAAATTCCAATCATTTTCGTCCACTCTTTTTTGGACTATTTCATGACGCTGTTCGAATAATCCACACCGCAAGGTAACATCATCATTCTCATCACGTGTTCTATATCCAGATATCTATTTTAATTCGTGAGACTTGGATAAGAGCGGAAGAAATAAGAGAAATGCCAATAAATAAGTGTTCATTGAAATGGAATTGGTATATAATTATACTATTAAACCTATATTGAACCTTTCCGTTAAGCTTCACCCCTAGTGTTCATAAGGTGCTATAAGACATGCGTTTTATTAGCCTACGTGACGTCGGCCGACGTGATTTTATAAAGAACGCAACACGACGACGCGCGCTACGGATCGTTTTTAATGACGTTCCGTTCAGGCTGCCACCGACAATCAACAGACAGCATCGCTCTCGTCTAGCGCTCACAGGGAGCGAAGTTGGATTCATCGCGCGACGGTCGTCGACGCAGTGAGTGCCTGGCTTTGTGGGGGATGATCTGCGCGCGTTCTTGGCTCTCTTCTGATTGGCCGGTTGTTTTGATTGGCACTTCTGAAATGTCCATTATGTATAATAGTTCAACGCCCTAATCACCGTGCTGATGGCTGGCATTGTCAATGTGCACCACTTAATAACACTAGATTACTATTTATCCCAATGCTTTTTAGCTGTAGGGTGATGCATGAGTTTTAGACGTTTGTAAATGTCGTTGGATTTGTTGTATCATATTTCATAGCATAACACTTAATTTAATACGCAAGTAATTGGCAGCATTAAAACGATCTGCTTCGCGTCAATTCTCATTCTCCATAAACTATATAGATTACTCGTGGCTTTTATTTCCCGCTATTTTAAACTTCTCTTTAAAAAGCCGAGCGTATGATGATCCAGATATAGCCCTAATTAACTACAATTGCAGTTATTTCATATATCGTAAATGAATCGTTTTAGCTTTGAATGCGTATCAAGGATCTGATTGAATTAAATTAGTTCATTATTCGGTTTAAAACTTCGTCGACATGTCTTCTTCAATGTAACATATGCTTTTTTCATATTTGACTTCGGAAATTTTAAAAAATTAAGGCTGTCAGGTATAGTACTGTTATTTCCATTTCCAAATCGAATAGGCAAGCATCATTATCATTTATTGCACAAAAGAAAACCACCACCCTTTCGGATAAACAGACAATATTTTCTGTAATTAATAACTAAAGGACACCAGGTAACCTTCAAAGCAAAAGTTGTTGGATTGGAAATAATAAATAATATATAGGCCTAGGCCTATATAGGCCTATATATATAGGCATATATATAGGCCTATATATATTATATATATATATATATAATAATAATAATAATAATAATAGAAACATTGATAAAATCAAATGAAACGGTTGACGTATTGGAGGACAGGACGAAATATTCGTGTGCAATAAAATACTTATGTTCCTCCAATACGTCAACCGTTTCATTTGATTTTATCAATGTCTCTATTATTATTTAATTTACTGGGAACATACGTGCTCGCAATCACATTGATGCCTACTCTATATATATATATATATATATATATATATATATCCTATTGAATTTGCATCTTTTGGTAAAAAAAAAATAAAATTAAAAATTAAAAAAATAATAATATGGTATAGTACTGTAGCTTTCTAGTGCATGTATACACCCCGTATGTTTAAATTTATCAACATTGTCATAAAACAAGGCATTCGTCATAGAATACTTCTCCACACGGTATCTTATTTTGGTCATCTCAACCTCGATTTTGCTTTATTGAATAAAAGAGTCGATAATTAGTGTTCTTCATATTAGAAACTGCGTGCTCAGGTTTTACAACTGAACACCACAAAAATCTATTACCCACTGGTATATACCTGCATGCTACATCTTTTCAGGCCTACGGTACATATTTTTGTATCAACCGTACCAAGTTTACACAATTTACAAAAGCTATGTTAAAGTGATACAACGCGTGCTAAAAGTTAACAGCTTGTTGTAATGTCACTTTAATACATATTCTAAGAGCTTGTTGTAATGTCACTTTAACTTGCCGATCGCTGAAACTAAAGGTGCACCACGTGACTTTGGGAATTGACAGACTTTAATGTTAAAGATTAATGGGGAGCCGTCGGTAATACGGCTAATTTCCGGTTTATTTCCTATTATAAATACATAGCATCATAATGATAACGCACATTTGCAAGTTTGAAATTAAGTTATGTAAACAACGCCGTTATAGCAAAAGAATTTTTACTGTGTTTTTGTTTGGAACGAAAATCGTAAACAGAATCTGATGTTGACAACCTTTAGTCGATGAACAAATCTGCAAGAATAAAAAATGAACAAAACATGCTTTTAAACTAGATCTTGTCTTGTGCTCAAATAGTGCCGAATTAGCCAATATGTGTTTCTCTCAAATATTAAATAATATTTACACCACAGTAATGGAATTCACTTCATACATAATTTCATTCGATACTATTTAACGTTTATTCGTCCCTAGACAAATTGTCCAGGACATTATTGTACATAGGCTTCCGGCCTTAATTCTTACGTATAATTCTTACGTACATAGATAGAAATTAAATCAGTGCAACTAAATAAAAAAACTTGTATTTGACAAAAAAAAAACAAACTTGTGACTTGCCTAAATATGGTCATGATGACATCACATCATGACCATATATATCTGCATGTCATGACTATAGGGATACAACAGTTTTTTTTGTCCAAGAAAATAGTATAGCGTGGATACAACTTCATATAGGCCTACATATTTTATGACATTAGCAAAATAAACTTGTTAGAGCGAACAGTAAAACATAATGTGAAATAAATTTCATTACCAGTTTAAAATACAATACTCGAATATAGAATGATAGTCATCTTATGATTTCTCTATTACAACATAATTTACAAACACGCTTCTTCCTTATAACATTAAACGACTTTCGAAATTCCTGAAGTCCAACAGATCTACGATGTTTTTGTGAAATATATCTGTTTTCAATATGTATAGAGTACTAGGCATTCGTCATAGAATATTTCTCCACTACGATATATTATTTTGGTCATCTCAACCTCGCTTTTGCTTTATTGAATAAAAGAGTCGATAATTAGTCCAACAGATCTACGATGTTTTTGTGAAATATATCTGTTTTCAATATGTATAGAGTACTAAAGTGTTACGTCACGATACCATGTGATACTACTCCGTTGCTATCGGCGACACAAAATACGTTCAAACGACGCCATTTTCTTCACTGACGAACCATTGGTCCCAATTCCTAACGTAATTTTTAAGAGGTTGTATCTTAATTTTTATTTGTAAATGTTCATTGATGATTAAAAATGTGTTCGATAACTAATATAATGCGAGCTTTTTGTGTTTTTAGTACATTTGGTGGTAAATTATTAGGTTTTAAAATGCCTATTCCAGAAAGCCTATTCTAAACCATTAAGATTATGAAGTCATTCGGGTGTAATGAACGGTAACCAACGTCCAGAGGGCGCCACCTGGTGTTGTGACGACACGACTGTGGCACTCTATTAAAGGAAAACCTTACAAATTTTATATAATTTGAGGACTGATTTAGCATAATCAGTTACATATTTCCCTTTTTGAAAATTACGAATCCCATGCGCGTTCGTTACGTAGACGCTCTCAACTAGATTTGTGATGACGTCACAGGTGCATCGCTCTATTCAGGTTTAGCGACAGACCACTGTTTAGAATGATTCCGAGTTCTTCGTCTTTATTACTATCCTTGTATTCACATAAACTGATATCGATTGGCTTAGACAAAGAATAAAATAAGCATTTAGACCAGATAAAAAGGCATTAAAAATTGGATAGTATGAACTGATGCTAAAGCAGTTCTGAAAGAATATATTGAATTAGTAAACTTCTCTTTTAAATTACCCTATATAGGAGAATGTCTTTTAAAGTAAATGAAAAAAAGTAAAACGTGTTGTAATAATTTACACTGCTTTTATTATTATCCAAGCTACATTCACATCGATTAAGGATCAAAGCCTACCGAACTGATCATTATGTAAAACAAACTAAGGACGATAGCGTTCAGCGCACCGAAAATTTGAATTTGACTTCGGTTCCAATCCGATGTGGATGCAGGTTTATTTTGTAAACTAAATTCAAAAGAATTGATTGTTGCCACTAATTATAGGTGATTTAATGCCCAGAAAGTTCACTGAACTTTACCTCATGTGAAACTTGTTCAAGAATACTTAATGGACCTAATTACGGATTTTCAAAATGAAAAAACAGAACAGAACCAGTAAAAAATCCACGTCCTCAAAGCACAAGGCGTTTACGTACGTTTACTCTCATCTGTGAATCCTTAGCAACAATATCCAAGGGGCGGGGCTTAGAAAAGAAACTGAAAAGTACTTGGAATTTATCGGGTTCGAATCCCATACATTGTATCTTCCGTAATTAATCTAACTAATATATACACATATAATG